TCTGGAATATTTTTACTAATTCTTTGGATTGAAAACCTGAAGCCCTGAACTAATTCTAGAAAACATACTAGAAGCTGATCTAGAATTCTCTGTCTTTTTTTTGTTTTTTTTTTTGTTTGTTTGTTTGGGACTGAGTTTGATGCATTCCAAGCTGTTCTCGAATTCTTGATCTTCCTGCCTCCACTTCCCAAGTGCTGGGATTACAGATGGTCATCCTACACCTGGCTTATGTGGTGCTGGGAATCAAACCCAGGGCTTCATGCATGCTAGGCCAGCACTCTACCAGCTGAAGTACATCCTCAGCCCTTGGCCCTCTCTTCACTTCTTTCCCCACGTTTTCTCATGTCTGTATTGTATTGATCAGGACGTCTAACACATCCTTAATATTTGTTTGGAATATTTCTCCACTATCGTTTTCTAGCAAAAAATATTTAATTTTATCTTTTACTTATTAGTGTGTGTGTGTGTGTGTGTGTGTGTGTGTGTGTGTGTGATGTGTATGTGCAGGCATGCATGTCATGGCACATATGTGAGGGTCAGAGGACAGCTTTGTGGAGTCAGTTCTCTCCTTCCAACATTACGTGGGTTCCAGGGATTGAATTCAAGTTATCAGGCTTGTATCATTGGACTGCAAACACCTTTAACCTCGGAGCCATTTTGATGTCCAAGGTCTTTTTTTTTTCACATGTTGAAGCAGTATCCAACCTGAGTGTTCTCTCTCTCTCCCCTCCCTCCCTCCCTCCCTCCCTCCCTCCTTTTCTGTTCTTTTTTCCAGTGTGGGGATTGAACCCAGGGCTTTGCAAAATCTAGACCAGCAGCTGTATCACTGAGCCACACTCCTAGCCTCAAAGTCACTGTGCACGTGAGGATGACGCTGAACCTCTGACCCTCCTGCCTCCACCTCTCCGGTGCTGGAGTTGTGGGCCTGTATCACGATGGCTGGTTTATGTAGTGTGGAAGATTAACGCAGGGCTTCATGCCTGCTGGGCAAGCACTCTACCAACTGAGCTAAATCTCCAGCCCAAATTTTATCATTTACATTTTTCAGATTGATCTGGTTTTCTATTTCTAGTTTTCTGAGAAAATTGTACATTTATTTATAGTTTTTCAATTTTATTTCGGTAAAAATGTATAAAGAATTTTCTTAGGGTGGTTTTATTTTTCCTTTAGTTTGTGATTATTTTACCCTTGCAATTTCTTATTGACGATATTCAATCCATTTCCTCTCTCTCACTCTCTCTTTATCTCTCTTCTTTTTTCTAATTTGATTTATAAATATATTGGTTTTTTTAGACAAGATTTTGCTAGTTGTCCAAAAGGGTCAGGAACCCCCAGTTGTGCCTCCACCTCTTGAGGACTGGGATTACAGCTGTGGGTCACCATGCCCAGCAGTTTGAGTTTATTTTACCTGTCTGTATGCCTGCCTGCCTGTCTGTTTTTGCATGCAGGGGATCAAACCTAGAGCCTAACTCACACTAGGTAAGTGGTCTATCACTAACCTATACATACTCAGTCCCTGGTTTGTTTTATCTTATTTTATTTGGGGGGAGGGGTTGAGACAAGGGCTCCCCGTAGCCCCAGCTGGCTTAGAACTCGCTTATGTAGACCAGGCTGGCCTGGATCTCACAGAGATGCACTTGCCTCTGCCTCCCAAGTACTGGGATTAAAGACGTGCATCACCATGCCTGGCAGTTTTAAAATTCTTTTTGTTGTTTTGTTTTGTTTTGAGATAGGGTCTTGCTATGTAGCCTTAGCTGGCCTGGCACTCACTGTGTGGCTCAGGCTGGCCTTCATCTTGCAGTAATCCTGCCTCATCCTTCTGAATGCTCAGACTGTGTCCTGTGTCCTCTTGCTTGGCTGGCTTTTTGAGTCACCTGTTTTGTTTCTCTTTCTTTCTTTCAGACTGATGGAACCACTAAGGCTGCCTATTTTCCTCCTGAGCACTGCTTTAGCTGTGCTCAGGGATATTTCTGTGTGTCTGTTCATTGTATTCTGGAAATTCTGCTGTTGTTTACATTTTCCTTTTAATCTTGGAGTAACTTAATATAGACACACACACACATGCACACACACACACATACACGGCAGATGGACACTTTTTTTCCCTTTGTTGAGGCAGGGTCTTGCTACATCCCCAGCCAGCCATGTGATACATTTTTTTAAAAAGATGAGGGATCAGCCAGGTGTGGGGTTATACATCTTTAATCCCTATACTAGGGAGGCAGAGGCAGGCAGATCTTAATTCAAGGCCAATCTGGTCCTCATAGTGAGTTCCAGACCAGCCACGGTGACATATTGAGACCTTGTCTTAAAAAAGAAAGAGAGAAGCCGGGCGTGGTGGCACACGCCTTTAATCCCAGCACTTGGGAGGCAGAGGCAGGCGATTTCTGTGAGTTCAAGGCCAGTCTGGTCTACATAGTGAGTTCTAGGACAGCTGGGGCTACAGGGAGACCCTGTCTCAAAAAGAAAAATAAATAAATAAAAGAGAGAGAGAGAGAGAGAAAGGGAGGAATGGAGGAAGGAAGAGAAGGGAGGAGGGAGGGAGGGAGGCCTGGAGAAATGGCTCAGCAGTTAAAAGCATTTGCTGTTCTTGCAGAGGACTCAGGATCTGTTTCCAGCACTCACACAACAGCCTTCAACCTGACCAACTCCAGTTCCAAAAGGTCTGACACCCTCTTCTGCCTTCTGAGGGCGCTGCATGCACATGGTGCATTTATGTTCAAGCAAAACACACACACACACACACACACAAAATAAAAAATTAAAATAAAAAAAGATGAGAGGTTGGGGAGTGTAGCTCAGAGGCAGACTGCTTACCTAACATACATAAGGTCAGCACTATAAAGTTAAATAGAGGGGGCTGGAGAGATGGCTCAGCGGTTAAGAACACTGGCTGTTCTTTAACAACTGTCCATAACTCCAGTTCCAGGGGATCCAACAGCCTCTTCTGTCCTCCAAGAGCATTGAACGACATGGGTGCACTTACCTCCATGCAGGCAATACATGCATACACATAAAAATAATAAATAAAATATTTTTTTAAAAGTTAAGTAGAAACAAAATTTTATAAAGACGAGTTAAGCTCAGTTTTATGCATATATAAAACACATATATTAATTTTAAAAATAAATAAAGGTGGAATGTGATCTAGGAAAGATACTCAAAGTCAACTCTGGACCTCCACACATGCACTTACATGT